TTGGATTTTTATTTTATATCGATGTTGGACAGTATGAAAAATAAATGAGGAATCTCAAAAACTCCTTCATAGCCTAAACATTTGAAAATATTTTTCTTTCATCGTAGGCAGTTTCTTATACCAGCACACAATAGAATATTGGTTATACAGCAGTGTTATAGAAAAATGCTTAATTATTATGTCCAGAACTTTCTTCCAAGCCAATGCAATCCATTTTTCAAGTTTTGATGTTGATGTTACATCAGTATATCTTATTTCACTGGATTCTTATTGTGATTTATTTCCATCAAGGTAGTTAGTTGTTCTTAGAGGGTTTTTTTTTTTTAGATTTATTTATTTATTTATTTAAAGGCAGAGTTGCAGCAGAGAGGCAGAAGCGAGAGGGAGAAAAAGAGGGAGTGGCCGGCGCCGCGGCTCACTAGGCTAATCCTCCGCCTTGCGGCGCCAGCACACCGGGTTCTAGTCCCGGCTGGGGCGCCGAATTCTGTCCCGGTTGCCCCTCTTCCAGGCCAGCTCTCTGCTATGGCCCGGGAGTGCAGTGGAGGATGGCCCAAGTCCTTGGGCCCTGCCACCCCCAGGGGAGACCAGGAGGAAGTACCCTGGTTCCTGCCCTTCGAATCAGCCGCGGCAGCCCAATGGGAGGGGGGACCCAACGCCAAAGGAAGGACCTTCCCCCCGGGCCCCCCCCCCCCCACTGTCCACTCTGCCTGTCAAAAAAATAAATTAATTAAAATTAAAATTAAAAAAAAAAGAGGGAAGTGGGAAAAAAAAGAAAAAAGGAAAAAAGAAAAAAGGCCTTCCCTCCTGCCTGGTTTTATTCCCCCAAATGGCCCACAAATAGCCAAAAGCTGGGCTGATCCAAAGCCAGGAAGCTAGGGAGGCTTCTCTTCTTGGGGTCCTCCCATGTGAGGGGCAGGGGCCCCAAAGGACTTGGGGCCAATTTTCCTATTGGCTTTTCCCGGGCCATAGCAACAGGAGGCTGGGATTGGGAAAGGAAACAGCTGTGACTCAAACTGGTTTCAATATAGGATCCGGGCACTGCAAGTGGTGGCTTTACCTGCCATGTCACAATGTCAGCCCCGATTCCTAGAATTTAAGCTATTTCCATAAAAAGTACCTGGGAGATTCAAAGAAACTTATAACCTAAGCAATATGCAAATTGCTTTGGGTTCTGTCTCTCTCTCTCTCCTTCTCCCCTATGCTTCCCCCCCCTCTTTCTTTGTTCCTCTTATATTATTAGAAATCTGACAATTTCCTCTGCTTAATTCTTTCCCATTTCTAATGTTCCAAAATCCTTCTGGCTATTGCAGGATAATAAAATAGCATATCTCCCCTACTTGGCAGTGGCTTCTTACATCCCATTAAGCCATTGTTTCTTGCTTTCAAAAAAATTTTTGCAATTGCAGCCATTCCTTCTTCAAAGAATATTTGATGCACAAATGTTCTATTTATGCCCTGGATTCTATTTCTGACCTCTGCACACACAATAACATTTTGTGTTCCAAAGCTGAAACATACCTGAACATTATAAAAGACATCTTGACTAGTAATCAACCTTGACCTGTATAATTCTGATAATGCATATGATTCAATTGAGGTAATTACAGTATGAACAGTTCAGATGAAAGTCTTATAAGGCACAAAAGGACAGCTCTGTCATATAGTTTTATAGTGATAATAAAGCACAAAAAATTATCAGACTCATTCCACTATGAGAAACAGTAAGATGTGCTTCCTCACAGGAAGCTAAGTTCCAGGAAGATCCCCTAGACATGATCGAGAACATTGTGTGCTAGGTACTTTTCCTCCTATTTCTAAGTATAGCTCTGCAACAATTCTTAATTCTGAAGAGCTCATGTTTTTCTGTGCTATCTCTTTAGTGGATTTTGACAGCAAATTTTGTAGGTTTTTTTTTTTATTTAGTGAGACTTCTGAATAAAAATGTTGTTTGACAATCACCTTCTACTCAATTTCTTAGCATGATGGTTTTAAGAATGCCTCAAGAGTAAAAAAAAAAAAAAAAAAGCCCTGATGTTCTCATTTTTCTGCAATTCTTTTCTCCATAGAATGTTAATATCCAAAGTTATGACTGTTTTAGGGGCTGGCACTGTGGCACAGTGGGTTAACACCCTGCCCTGAAGCACTGGCATCCCATATGGGCACCAGTTCTAGTCCCAGCTGCTCCTCTTCCGGCCCAACTCTCTGCTATGGCCTGGGAAAGCAGTAGAAGATGGCCCAAGTCCTTGGGCCCCTGCACCCGCATGGGAGACCAGGAAGAAGCTCATGGCTCCTGGCTTTGGATCGGTGCAGCTCTGGCTGTTGCGGCCACTTGGGGAGTGAACCATTGGATGGAAGACCTCTCTCTCTCTCTCTCTCTCTCTCTCTCTCTCTCTCTCTCTGACTCTGACTCTCCTCTCTCTGTGTAATTCTGACTTTCAAATAAATTAATTAATCTTTAAAAAAAAACAAAGTTATGACTGTTTTAGAATCTTTTCAGTACTCCTAAAAATCATGTTTATTGTATTGTATGCATACTATACGATTGGTCTTACAAAAATATTTGTATGATTTAAGTTTCTGTCTTTTTAAAAGAAATGGATATTTGGGGTAGTGTTTTATCTAGTCATCCTTCTGATCTTTTTTAAAGAGTAAATAATGTATGATTACTTAACAATTCTTTTTTTTAAAGATTTATTTATTTATTTGAAAGTCAGAGTTACGCAGAAAGAGAAGAAGAGGCAGAGAGAGAGGTCTTCCATCCACCAGTTCATTCCCGAGATAATTGCAATGGCCAGAGCTGCGCCATTCTGAAGCCAGGAGCCAGGAGCTTCTTCCAGATCTCCCTGTGGATGCAGGGTCTCAAGCACTTGAGCCATCTTCTGCTGCTTTCTCAGGCCATAGCAGAGAGCTGGATTGGAAGTGGAGCAGCCGGGACTTGAACCGGTGCCCATGTGGGATGCTGGCACTACAGGCAGCAGCTTCACCCTCTACTTCACAGCGCCAGCCCCACTAATGTGCAGTTCTTTCCAGTTCTAAAACTATTTTTGCATCATTAAACTGAGAATTTTTTAAAAAAATAGTTGACATTGTTAAATACCAATGTGCTTTTGCTACAATGGAAACTGGGCAGGCTTTGGTGGAGCAGCTATGCAGCCAGTTGGGATGCCCACATTCTATATCAGTGTCTGTTTGAAACCCAGTTCTGCTGCTGATTCCAGCTCCCTGCTAATGTGCACCCAGGAAGGCAGCAAATACTGCCTCAAGCAGTTGGAGCCCTGCCATCCCTTTGAGAGATGTGAATTGATTTCCCAGATGCTAATTGCAGGCCTTTGGAAACTGAACTAGTAGATGGGAGATCTCCCTCCCCGCTCCCCCTTTCAAATAAAATAAAATAAAATTATTAAAGATTTTCAGCTAGAATCAATTTACTCTCGACTCTAAACCATTCAATTAAATAATTTATTGCTTTTAGGTTTTTTAAAAAAGTATTTATTTTAATAGGAGAGAAAATGAGCTCCCCCATCCACTGGTTTACTCCTCAAATGACCACAACTGCCAGAAATGTGCCAAGTTAATGAATTAGGAACTCAACCTTTTCTTTTTTTAAGATCTTATTTATTTGAGAGGTGGAATTACAGACAGAGAGAGGGAGAGACAGAGAAATAGGTCTCCCATTCACTGTTTCACTGCACAAATGGCCAAAACGGCTGGAGCTGAGTGATCTTAAGCCAGGAGAGCTTCTTCCAGGCTCCCATGCAGGTGGAGGAGCCCAAGCACTGGGGGTCATCATCTGCTTTCCCAGGCCATAGCAGAGAGCTGGATCAGAGGAGGAGCAGCTGGGACCAGAACCAATGCCCATATGAGATGCTGACGCTGCAGATGGAGGCTTAGCCCTCCATGCCACAGTGTTGGCCCCTAGGAACTCAATGGTAAATGAAACTCCTTAATTAGAAGGAAAATAATACCACATAGAAATCTGGGCATCCAAAAAAATGTACAAAGACCACTAAAAATACTGAGTATAGATGGACATTTTTAGGGAATTAAATTTATTTTAAAAATAAGTTGTTTAAGCAAAAATAGAAATACTGTATAGAAGATAAAAAATATATAGAATTTTAAAAACTAACCACTATTATGAAAGCCAGGAAAAGAGAAACAAAAATATAATATTGTAGTACATGAAGTTTAATATAGCATCATGTTAAAACATTGTAAATTTTTTTTTTTTTTTTTTTTTGGCAGGGCCCCAGCCCCATGCGGGCTTTATTTTGACACCACTTTGTTTCAATACAAACAGTCCAGAAAGAGTCCCGTCGCTCTGGGCGAGCGCGGAGTGAGTGGTCTGTGTTGCTTGGAGCCCAACCTGCAACCCGGAGGTGGCGGAGGGGCCCAGACTGCCAGCATGGCAGGAGAGGATGGCACCAAAGATGACACAGTGCATGGCCCAGCTGCCAGAGAGAGGCCCGCACGCAACCCCTCGAGCTCTCAGCGGCAGGCCAGGCCAGGTCCCTCTGAGCCTGCTTCTCTCCCTCATGTCTTCTACTTCCTTGGCCGGTGTGAGGCTCACAGCATCCAGAGTCAGGACACAGGGCAGATGGGACCCACTGCAGCCATGGGCCAGGGGAAGGGCCAAACATCTCAGGAAACGGAGGGCCCACGGCCCACAGCAGATGGTGTGCCAGGCCTCAGGGAGGCCCAGAAAGTTCTCCAAGCAATTACAGTCACAGGGGAGGAGGGGGAAGGGAACATGGGATCACTCAGGCCTGGTCCCAAATGAAATCTTTAGGCACCAGGTGAAAGTTCTAGCCCTTAGTAAGGCCCAGACCAAGGTCCTTCCTCTCCCCTGCCCTCTCCTGATACCCAGAAGAGGCACCGGCAGCAGCAGCAGAGGCAGCAGCAAGCACAGAACCCCCTCCCCGGGGGCTTTCAGCAGCTCCCCTCTTGCTGGGCCTCTCCCTGGTGCGAGAGGGCAGAGGCCCGAGCCCTCGGACCACCTAGAAGGATCCTGGAGCCAGCAGAAGGTGTACACTTTTCCCTTTCCCTGCATGGGGAAAGGCTGGGCCTCCCACCCTGAGCGAAATCCCTCCAGTGTGCAGGACAAGTGAGCAGCAGCTCTGGGGGCAGGACTGGAAGGACACTGCACAGAGGAGAGGCTGAGGGCACACAGGGGAGGGGCTCAATCCACAGGAGTCCCCCTCCCCAGAGTCCTCCAGGGCCACCCCCTGTACAGCACACACTTAGGTAACCAAGCCACCCAGCTTCCACAGGAGGCACCCATGCCCTGAGAACCATGGGTTTCTTGCTGCTGTCCCCAGTGATACCTGAGCCACGGGGCTATCAGCAGGAACCATAGCGATCCTGCAAAGAATTCATCACGCCATTGGCCAGCACAGCCATCTTGCCGGCCACAGACTTGACACCCTGCTTAAACTGGGCGATGTCCTCCAAGGGTAGCACATTGCCCAGAGACATGCTTCCTGCTGCATGGGCTCCATGCACGTCCCCAAAGAGGTCTGAAGAGCTGATGGCACTGCTGCCCGTGAGCTGCTGCAGCCGAGACCTGGCTTCATACTCAACGTCCACCTCCCGCCCAAAGAACATGTCGGATGAGATGGCTTTTGCACCTGCAAACTTCTGGCCTGCTTCGCTGGACTCGAGGCCCGAACTCCGGCTCTCCACGTCCCTCCGGCTTGTGGCTCTTTCCGAAATGGGCCGGATGCTCGAGATGGTCATTTCTGCCTCCTTCTCTACCCTATCCATGCCCCAGATGGTATCCGTATCCCAGCGGGAACCAAAACTTTCCCCCAAGGAAGAGGCGGTGTCCTTGTACTTTGGGGGTCCAGAGGTGAACGTCCAAACGTCCTCAAACAGGTCCAGTTGCGAGCAGGAGGACTTGGCGGTCACTGGGGTCTCCTGCTCGATCACCTGCATCTCGGACAGCACCGAGCGGGACACGGAGCTCCGGCTCACCAAGCCCATGCCCAGCCGCTCCGCCTGCTCTCGCTTCTTCCCCTCCAGATTCTGGAGCTGCTTCTCCTCCTTCTTCCGATCAAGCTGGAGCTCCTGGTAGGCCAGACGCATGGAGGCGACCATGGACTCCTCGGCCTGCTTCTTGGCATGTGCCGCCTGCTGCTCACGGAGCTCCTCTGCCACCTGGGCCTGCCGCTCCATCTCGCTGAAGCTCCGGCCGCTCACCTTCTGGGCGCCCAGGCCTTTCTTAGCTGCTGCTGGCTTCTTCCTGCCAATGATGGAGCTTTTCAGTTCCAGGGGTGCCTTGGGCGAGGTGCCAAGCAGGTCGGTGTTGGGACCGTGCTCCGGCTGGGCCAGGCCACTGCTCTCTGCGGACGGGGCTGGCTGCTGGATCCCTGCAGGCTCAGCGGCTGGCACATCCCAGGCAGGGGCTGAGTGTGCTCTTTGAAGAACTGAGTCCTTCTTCTCTGGGGAGTGGCTAGGAGCGCTGCTCACGCTGTCTATCCAGAGGTCAGTGCCACGCCGGGCCAGGGCCGCGCTCCCCAGCTGCCGGATCTTCTCCCGGTACATCTGGGCTGCTCGGCTGTTGCACTTGCTGTTGGCATCACTGGCTGTGCAGCCGTGCTGGTGGAAAAAGGCCGTCTGCATACACCTCAGCTGGAACCAGCTCCAGTTGGAATCCAGCTCTGTGGACCTGATGAAGCTGAGATGGACGCCCAGGGAGCGCTGGGCCCCGCAGCAGTCAATGCACAAGAAAACACCATACGTGATGCTGGCGCAGCTCGGATTCCTGGCGCCACAGTGGAAACAGGCCTTGTTGGTGGGAATTGCTCGAAGCCTCTTATAAAGAGTCTGGATTTCCGTCTTGCTCGGTTCTGCCGCCATTTTCTCTCCTGTAAATTATTTTACATATTATATTTCCTAAAGCAACTACTAACACAAAGCAAAAGATTGTCTAATAAGCCAATAAATAAAATAAATTAGAATCCTAGAGCATGCTTAGCTAATTTAAACAAGGTGAAAAGGAGGTAAAGTGAAATGTATAAGAACAGATAAATAGAAAGAAAAAAGAACAAATTAAAAAACATAATGTAAATCACTCAATAAACATTCCAAATATAAATGACCTAAATGTCTATGTGAAATAAACAAACTGAGATTGTATTAAAAAAGAAAGTAACACACAACTGTAGCCTGCCAATCAATACATTCACATTAAATATAAAGATACAAAGGATAAATGCAGTGAAAAAAACATATCATTACAACAGTTTTAACTAAAAATTATGAGCAATGATAGATCAATGTAAAATAACAAAAGATTCAGGGAAAGAATATTAACAAAGATAAACTTAGACAATACACATGAATAAATAGGCCTATTAACAAAAAGTTCTAGTGATTGAAAATGTGTCTAATAAAAGCTTAAAATACATGAAGCAAAAGCATAGTATATATAAATTAAAAATCTTTAATTATAAAATAGATTTCAATAACCTTCAATAACGAATAGAAGAAGCAGGTGGAAAATCAGTAACTATATAGAATACTTTATCAATCTTATAAGCTATCCTTTGTAAAAGTATTAGATACATTTTATTTTGACTAATTCTTTTTTTAAGATATTATTTTTATTTATTTGAAAGGCAGAGTTGCAGGGAGAGAGAGAGAGATTCCATCCACTGGTCTACTCACATAATGACCACAACAGCTGGGTTGGGCCAGCCCAAAGCCAGCAGCCAGGAGCCAGAAGCTTCTTCCAGGTCTCCCACATGGGTGCAGGGGTCCAAGCACTTGGACTATCTACTGCTGCTTTCCCAGGTGCATTAGCAGGGAGTTGAAGGGGAAGTTGAGCAGTCAAGATTCGAGCTGATGTCCATATGGGATGCTGGTGCCGCAGAAAGTGGCTGAATCTACTTTGCCACAGAAACTGCCCCAAGTTTGACTATTTCTTAGAAAATTAATCTAATCAATATTTTCTACTCAACTGAGATGAATCCATTAAAATGTTTGATACAAATGACATTTTGGTTTTCCACTGAGTATCTTATTATATTTTTAAATATAAAAGTTTGATTAGCATGTAGTGCTTGTATACCTTCATAAGCCCATTCCAAAGCCAGAAGTCCAGACCTCCATCCAGATCTTCTCTGAGGGTGACAGGGGCCCAAACTCTTGTGCCATTTTTCACCACTTCCCAGGCACCTTAGCAAGGAGCTGGGTCAGAAGTGCAGCAGTCAGTACTCAAACTGGCACTCATATAGGATGCTGGCCTCACAGGTGGCACTAGGGCCTGCTTATGATGCCAGATCACAAATGGCAGCGTAACTCACTCCAGCATAATGCAGTCTGAATTCCTTCACTAGTAGCTATTTATCGGAAGAAAATGAAACATTTGGCCATAAAAAGATTTTACATAACTGTTTATGTCATATTTGTTTCTAAAACTGAAGTAGATAAAATATCCATCAATAGGTGAATAAATTTTGTAAAATCAATTCAATTGAAGTAATAAAAAGTATTTCACTATTATTTGAAAGATTTATTTATGCATTTGAAAGGTAGAGCTACAGAGAGAGGAGAGAGAGAGAGATCTTGCATCCACTGCTTTACTCCCCAAAGGTTTGAAATAGCTAGGGCTGTGCCAGGCAGAAGCCAGGAGCCAATCACTTCTTCCAGGTCTCCCATGTGGGTGCAGAAGCTCAAGCACTTGGGCCATTTTCTGTTGCTTTCCCAGGCCATCAGCAGGGATCTGGATCAGAAGTGGAGTGCCTGGGACTTAAACTGGTACCCATATGAAATGCCAGCCCTGAAAGCCCTCCCTTAACCTACTATGTCACAGTGCCAGCCTCAGAAAGTAGAATATTATTGATGCATGAGAAAACATGATTATATCTCAAAATAATTACAAAGAGTATAAAATAATTAAGTAAGGGGGAAATTGAGAGACAGAAAGTGATTAATTCCTGTATGGTACTATTTATCTGAAATTCCATAGAAGGAAAATTAATAGTGACAATAAACTGGTGATTTTTTGAGGAATGTAAAGTTTGAGGTAGTATGAGGAAAAGCAGAAAAGTTGGATTAAGAAGACAAGACGCAGGGCCGACACTGTGGCGTAGTGGGTAAAGTCGCTGCCTGCAGTGCCAGCATCCCCTATGGGCACCAGTTCGAATCCTGGCTGCTCCACTTCCAATCCAGCTCTCTGCTATGGCCTGGGAAAGCAGTGGAAGATGGCCCAGGTCCTTGAGTCCCTGCACCCATGTGGGAGACCCAGAGGAGGCTCCTGGCTCCTGGCTTTGGATCTATACATCTCTGGCCTTTGTGGCTAACTGAGGAGTGACCCAGTGGATGGAAGACCTCTCACTCTCTCTGCCTCTCCTTCTCTGTGTGACTCTGACTCTCAAGTAAATAAATACATCTTTAAAAATAAAAAAGAAGAAAAGACGTGAATTTTGGTGTGTTTAATATTATCTTGATGAATTAATGGATGTGTAAGGTGTAAAAATGTGCAAAATCAGATTCCATATTTTATATGATGCTATTTACTGTATGTCAACTATGACTCAGAGCTATACAAGTAAAATTTTAGAAAAAAATAATTTCAATATGTGACATTGTTTAAATATATTTAAATATAATTATTTAAAAATGCTGACTAAAATGTATGGCTTCTTTTTCCTTGCAATATACAAGTATATTAGTGACATCTACCTAGCATACATCACAGAGTTTCTGATAAGCAAAGCAAATAACAAAAAAGTTGTGTGTCAGCTTAGCATGTATGTTAGCAGTTGTTTAAATTTTAGCATGTTTGTTTTGCTGTTAATTCTTGACTGAAACATATTTCCATAACATTTACTTTAAAATAACCTAAATGTCTGAAATTATATACTAATCATTGCAGTTAAGTGCTTACCTGTACAATTTAGCTTTGTTATTCTGACACTACTGCATAAACTTGTATAGTTACATAAAACATCAGTATTATAGATGTCTATGCACAATTGTTAATGAATTCATACTGTGTGCCTGTCACTAATGTAAATGTGAAGTTTATCTTATCTAGATGTGTTTCTAAGGTCTTTAGCAGATTGTAGTTAACCATGAACTTAACGCTATTATAGACTGTCCTACTCAAATTTCTTTCAACCAAAATAATATTCTGCTTCTAATGAATACTGTGACTCTGGAGAGTCCAGACAGTTTACCTCTAGTTCTTTTTTTTTTTTCTTTATGAAAGCAATTTAGCAGTTTACCCCTAGCTGTTAAGGACTAATGACATTTAGTCCAATTGCAAGTTGTATTCAAATAAATGAAAATGGGAATTCAGGTGAGTAACAATACAGGATTGATGTGAAATACTTTTCTCTTTTAAAAGGTTACCAAACTTCAGAACAGCATTAATTAGGTGTTGAATTTGCAATTAAAGATACTATCACTTTTACACCCAATGTGTGTATGCACAGGCATAATCAATCAAACACTGATTGCTTTGCAAGAAAAAGTCATTTCCATCCCCAACTCATTGAGTTCTCCCAGATAAATTTATACACAACACACACACACACACACACACACACTTACACTCATGCATGCATGCATGATACAGACATTTTGACACTTAAACTTTTGGAAGTCACTATTGTCTGAATCATTTTGCATTTACTAGAAAAAAATATGGCTAAGTATCATAATTCCTTCCCAGTTGTATGTAATTTGCAGATTTCTGAGCTGTGTCTCAGTGAAATAGTGTTTCCTTTTTATTTAAATTGTAAGTTTATTATTTAAACAATACAGAAAAATGTCAGTTACATGGAACTATGGCTCCCTTTCATAATATTCAATGCACATTATTATAGCCAAATAGCTGAAGTAGGATACTTATATTTTCCCTTTCTTTAATTCTTTCTTTATAAACTGGAATTAATGTGGCTCATGGTTCTGGAAGTGTAAGGCTTATGGGAGTTATCCTGTGATGGCCTTCTTGATGACAGGGTCCCAAAACAGTGTAGAGCCATCATATGACAAGAGACTGAGAGCACAGATATCCATGTCTTTGTGTTTGTGAATTTTTGTAGATCCATGTGAGTTTTATCTTGGGGACTCTTCCCAATGGTCCTAATCTAAACCTTGTTTCCCAAAGATGTCACCTTTCAATATTACAATTGAGTTGTGTTTGCATCCTATTAATACTCATAATGAATATTCAACTCAGACATCAAGCTATAGTCAAGTCATAACATTTCATGCCTGGCTGCCCAAACCCATGACTTTCTCAGTATGCAAACTACAATAATTCCTTCTCCAATAAATCCAAAGTCCTAATTCCAGCATTAATGTAATTATTTTAATTTTTTAAAAATAATTGATATTCAAAAAATGGAGTGGGAGAAGGAGACAGAGAGAAGGAGGTGGGCACTTACACTCACTGTTCAATTTCCAAATGACTGGAATGCCCACAGCTGGGCCAGGCTTCAGCCAGAAGCTGAGAATTCCATCTAGGTCTCCCACATGGGTGGCAAAAATACAACTACTTCAATCATGACCTGCTTCTCCCAGGGTGGGCATTAACAGGAAATTTAAATAGGAGAAGATCCAGGACTCAAATGCAAGCACTTTGATGTGGAATCAAATCAAATCAATTTGATATGGATTCAAATCCAAGCATTCCCATCTGATGGCTTAACTGATAGGCCGAATATCCAGAGGCCAGCACTAATCCAAAAGGTTAAAATGCAAAGTCTCTTCTGAGTCATAAGGCAAAATCCTTTGCTCTGTAGACCTATAATATAAGAAGAAATTATCTACACCCAATAATGAAACAGGCAGAAGGTACACATCTTGTTTGCCTAGGGCTTAAGGCCCAGGACAAGCAAATCCAGATTTCAACAGATCATGGAGCAACTTGGAGTC